GCCCGCTCCCGCCGTCGTGGGCCGCCCTGCACGCGGCGCCGGCCTCACGCGCCTTGGTCCCCAGGTGCTCTTCGAGGCCGTGGTGTCCAGCGAGCGCAGGGGCTACCTTGGCTTGGACGACATCTTGCTCCTGAACTATCCCTGCTGTGAGTACGGCCGAGGGGCCGGTGGGCCCTGGTGCTCGTGGGAGCTGGGGCGGTGGGAGCTGCTGGAGGTGGTAATGGAGCTGAACGAGGTCCCCTCGTGCTGCCCCAGGGCTCTGGTGTGGGAGCTGCCTTCTCTCCCTGGGGGCTCTGAGGGAGGCGGCGCTCCTCCTGGAAAAGCCACTTTCTCTGCCTGACGCAGAGCCCCATGGCTGCTCCGGTGGGTACACGAGCTTGGAGCAGCGCTGCTGAACGCACGGCCCCAAACGCCCGCTGGGGTGGGCAGCGCTGGGATGGGGTTTCCTGAAATCCCACTGGGAAGGGGAGCTTGCGTCCCACCGGCTGCCACGTCCTGCTGCGAGCTCAGCTCTGGCCCCAGCGCCAGGCCCCGGCGGTGGCTTTTGTGCCCCGGCTGGGTTTGAGGAGCGTGTGGGTCCTTGGCAAGTCTCAGCGCTCCAGTGACTTTTCCGTTTCCCCGTCTCCTGGCAGCGAAAGCCCCTCACTTCTCCCGCCTGGGCGACGTGGAGGTGAACGCGGGGCAGAACGCGACCTTCCAGTGCGTGGCCGCCGGCAAGGCCTCCGAGGCAGAGAGGTTCCTCATGCAGGTGAGATGGATGGACTGGTGCCCTCCGGCCAGGGATGAGACCCCGCTGCCTTCGCTGCTAACCTCCCTGCATCCCTTTCCTATGGAAAAAGATAACAAACGAAGGGGAAATCTCCCTCCTTTAACCAGACAGCCTTTGGAGACCCGTTTCATGGCTCTGGAGGTCATCGTGCCTCCCTCTAACAATTTCTTTCTCCCCGGTGGGCAGAGGCAGAACGGAGATGTGGTGCCAGCCACCTCGGTGAAGCACATCAGCCACCGGCGCTTTCTGGCCACGTTCCAGCTGGACGAGGTGTCCAAGCAGGAGCAGGACATGTACCGCTGCGTTACCCAGTCTGCCCGGGGCTCGGGCGTCTCCAACTTCGCCGAGCTCATCGTGAAGGGTGAGCGAGGTGATGCTGTCCACGCAGCACCACGGGCCGTGGGGTGCCGAGCTGCCCTCCATGCCCTCGGGAATGGTCGGGGAAACCGAGGGCCAGCAGCAGCAAACAGCTTGCCTGGGATTAGGGCTGGGGTTAGGGGCTCATTGCTGTGTTTAATTCTGGTGGTGGCCAGTACCTTCAGCAAACTGTTCCCCCTGTTTGGGCCTCAGCTTCCTGGAATTTAAAATGTGGGTAATTTCCTCCTCGAGTCTGGATCGAATCTAGGGTATGAACTTGGTTGCATGAGCTGTTTCTGCTCTCCTGTTTGCAGAGGAGGAGGAGGGATGGCGTTTTTCTCAAGGCAGGGGATCGCTCTTAATTGCTGTGACCGGCGTGTGTGAGTCAGTCAGCATGCACAGATCGACACAGAGCAAGAAAACTATCTGTTCCAGCAGCTTTTTCTTGTTTGTTTTTGACTGTAGTAACTGGGAATTAATAATTATAGTGCAACTTTGCAGCACCTTAGTGAACTTTGTGCAGTGTGTTATATAAAATAATTAAGGTCTCATCAGATGAAACGTGATTGCTGCCTGGGCTGTAAACCCTCACTGAAAAAGATGTGCAGAGAGACTTATTTCCCAGGCTAAAGTGTAAGGACTGGGTTGAGCTCTCAGATGTTCCAGTGCACATCCCCATCTTGGTTTCAGTTGCCCTTTGTGCATGAGATGAGTTTACCCTGTGCCTGGAGGTGTGGAGGTGATCAGCTTGTAGGAGAAGAGAGACCACCAATGGTCTCAGCTGTAGCCAGAGAAAAAGATGGTTTCCAGTAGTAGAAGTGCAAATGAAGACAAGGAGGCTCCTCTGGTTGACAGAGACCCCGTCTGATCTGGTGTTTTCAAGGCTCAGATGGACAAGGAAGGGCAGAGCCTGGGACATGAGCCCTTCCAGGGGGGAGTGCTCCATCCGCCCCCTCTTCCCTGTGTTCCAGAGCCCCCGACGCCCATCGCGCCCCCGCAGCTGCTCCGCGCGGGCTCCACCTACCTGATCATCCAGCTCAACACCAACTCCATCATCGGCGACGGCCCCATCGTGCGCAAGGAGATCGAGTACCGCATGACCTCGGGGCCCTGGTCGGAGGTGCACGCTGTCAACATGCAGACCTACAAGCTCTGGCACCTGGATCCCGACACGGAGTACGAGATCAGCGTGTTGCTCACTCGCCCCGGGGAAGGGGGCACGGGCAAGCCGGGGCCGCCGCTCATCAGCAGGACCAAGTGTGCAGGTGGGTGTCCCGCCGTGTCCCCCTGCCCCTGCTGTTGGCTGTGCTCGGCTGGGGCGCGTTGGCCGAGGTCAGCAGGGCTGCTGCTGGCTTGGACAGAGCTCCCTCCCTGTCTCGAGGGATGCCCGCAGGGAAGCAGAGCGGGGAGGTCATGGCGAGCCTGGAAATGGCGCTGTTTCAGACCTCCCAAGACTCCAGGGAATACAAACGGATGCTCCAAGCTCGTGTCCTGCTTTCCTCGTCCACGTGCTGGGTGGGAGAAGGGAAGAGACCCGGGCAGCTCTGCTGTCTCATGACCTTCCTTGTCCTCACTCTGTCGGGAAGTGGAGATGAAGGGCTCCTGGGTCTGAACCCAGCAAAAGCCCTTCTGCTTCTGGAAGAGCCTGGCGTAGGGGGTGTCAGCTGGGAGCCAACGGAGCCTGGTGGAGGGGTCGGTGTCTCTGGAGTCTGGGCCATAATTAACGAGACTCCACAGCACGAGCCCGACCTGGCGCCGTGCCGGTGAGCGCAGCCTCTGGGGCGACCCCCTCTCTGAGCTCGGCAGAGCCGGGTCCCCATGAGCGGCTGAGCTCCCTGCAGCCGAGCAGCCCCATTTAGTGACGGGCATCCTGGGGGGGGGGCTCTAATTCAGCCCCCCCTGTGCTGGGG